GGGAAATCGGAGGGGGAGACGAATCATGAGAGACTATGGACTCTGAAAAACAAACTGAGGGTTCTAGAGGGAAGGGGTTGAAGGATGGGTTAGCCTGATGATGGGTATTAAAGAGGGCACGTTCTGCATGGAGCACTGGGTGTTATACGCAAACCGTGAATCATGGAACACTACATCAAAAACTAACGATGTAATGTATGGTGATTAACATAACAATAAAAAATTAAAAAAAAACCACAAAGTCCAACAACAAGTCCACTGATACACAGTGTTGAGGATTCTGAAGAAGGTCTAATATTTCTAATACAAAGAACCAAAGTGATATGGTAATATAATCCAAATTATCATGGAAAGAATAGAGCAGACACTACTTTTCCTAATATAGATCTCCTAATACACAATAAATTACTCCTATCAGGAACTGTACTTTTTAACTTTCTTTCTGTTAATAATAGCACAAATAAGGGGAGGTGGGGGGGATGGGTGCACTTGTGATGCACCAGGTATTGTATGGAAGTGTTGAATCACAATATTGTATCCTGGAATCTAGTATTACACTATATGTTAACCAAATATAATTTAAATAAAAATTTTAAGATTTTATTTATTTATTTGACAGAGAGAGACATAGCGAGAGAGGGAATACAAGCAGGGGGAGTGAGAGATGGATAACCATGCTTCCTGCTGAGCAGGGAGACTGATGTGGGGTTCAATCCCAGGACCCTGGGATTTTGACCTGAGCCGAAGGCAGGGTGCTTAATGACTGAGCCACCCAGGCACCCCTAAATAAAACTTTTTTTAAAATAAAGGGAAAAAAAGAAACTATATAGGGGTAAAAATAAATTTTATATAATATGGGAACAGATATTACCACTTACATCGATGTGGATGGAATTGGAGGGTACTATGCTGAGTGAAATAAGTCAATCACAGAAAGACCATTATCATTTGGTTTCACTCATATGTGAAATATAAGGAACAGTGCAGAGGATCATAGGGGAAGGGAGGGAAACTGAATGGGAAGTTATCAAAGAAGGAGAAAAACCATGAGAGACTCATAGGTAATTAACTACAGGAAACAAACTGGGAGTTGCTGGAGGGGATGTGGGCGGGGGGATGGGGTTATGGGCATTAAGGAGAGCATGTGATGTGATGAGCACTAGGTGTTATATATGGAACTGATGAAATTACTGAACTCTACATCTGAAACTAATGATGTACCTTAGGTTGTCTTATTGAATTTAAATTTAAAAATATGGGAACAGAAACCCCCATGATTTCAGATGTACATATATCTAACCTCTCTGGGTCACTGTGTTCTCATCAACTGTAAATCTAAGACAAATGATTCAAAATCATCAAACATCTGGCTGATCTATGAGGCTTTTCATTGAATCTTGGCTATGTCATCTACTTTTTAAGATTAATTTTGCTCACCAAAGAAAATTAACCCAGTCAAGTCTTCTCCTACTATTTCTATTCCACATTAGAACTTCCTAAATTATAGGCAAAAAACATGAGTTAACAACATGGATTCTGGAGCAAAACTGAGGTGATATTGAATGCAGAAGAAAAACTGGGACAATTTCTTCCAGTCTGCATCCTTGCCACCAGAAGATACCAGGGCCCAAACGGCACATCCCTTTTAGTACACAGAAAGTCCCTTGAGGTTTCCTCAACTATTATCTGAGAAGTTGAATGAGGTATACTGTAGCCAACACCCAGTTGCTCCCCTTCATGGTCTACTCACTTTTGGCAGAGATGGACTTGCTGCGTTAATACCTGAAGCCGTTAATCAACATTCACATCTAGAACAAACACATCCTTGGAACTGGATTTCAAATACTGCTCTCTTATTGAGCCTTCATCATCTCACTTAAGCAAGAGATCCTCTCACCCCTGTAAAATCCAACAGAACTTTATTTCTACTTTTTGACCAAAAATGACTAAAAGGTATCCCCACAAACACATTGTAAACTTCATAACAAGGTACCTAGCTTCACTACAACAAGTACAGATAAACACCAAATAGTTCTCACTGGCTCCTATTTAGGAAGAGCTGACCACTTCCATGTTAAGAGTGTAGAACTAGATTATTAGATAGGCATAGATTCTAATCAGACATTCCACTACATGGGAGGAACTATAATAAATCTAAAAATCTGTGGGGCACCTGGGTGGCTCAGACGGTTAGGCGTCTGCCTTCGGCTCAGGTCATGATCCCAGGGTCCTGGGATCAAGCCCCGCATCGGGCTCCCTGCTCGGCGGGAAGCCTGCTTCTCCCTCTGCCTCTGTCATTCCCCTGCTTGTGTTCTCTCTTGCTCTCTCTCTCTCTCTGACAAATAAATGAACAAAATCTTAAAGAAAATCTAAAAACTTGCACCCTAACATTTAGAAAAATTAGCAATGCTGACACATTTCTTAAACATCTACTCTGTGATAGGTTCTATGCCCATTGATCACTGCAGACAACTGAAGAAATACAAAACCAAAAAATTGTCCTCAAACACCAATGGTGTCCATGTAAAGACACTTACCATACTCACTGTATTTCATAATACATGTTCCACAAATATTAGTTCCCCTCTTCCCTGGACATCATCAGACACCTCCAACTCTGGCATTCAATGTTTGATCAAAGAGGTAGTTGTCTCCTTTTACATGTCCTTACTTCCGTCTCAGCATATGTGTGTGCCTTCTGGGATCTAAGGAGGAGTTTCCTTTTTTGCTTTCAACAGCATATATGTTTTAAAAAAAAAAAAAGGGAAAAATAATGAGCTCAGAATATCTTTTGAAAATTTAAAAAAGAAGACTTGGCAATGTATATGGCTACACCTGCCATTTCTAAGTATTCAAAGTTTTCACAGTAAGCCAAATTTTCTGTTGAAAATAATGTTCCCCGAAAAGTCTATTGAGGCACATTGACTGGATTTCAGAGTGTCATTTAAGCTCAAATTTTGAAATCATTATGTTCAGACAAGGTCCTTTGTCATCATGAACCTAGCCAAGGCCTCTATAATACACTATTACTTTTCTTTACAAGGTTATTTTACCTGGAGTGATTTATGTTTGTCCTAAATGCAGCTAACACCGTTTTCAGCTTCCTTGCGATACTACTGGGTGGGATCCACAATGACATGTCAGAAAATTGAATTGTCAAATTCTCTCCTCCTTTCATAGTCATCAACTATGTGGGCAAAAAAGACCTTCATAAGACTAAAAAAATTGCAACACAACAAAAATTATAAAATATCTTGCTTTACTTATTTACTATAATTCAAATATTGAGCTTTATTATATGAATGGCCAGTCCCAAGGGAACTAGAATGCAAAGATGAGTAAGAATTTGGCAATGTATTATCAACTGGATAACATGTATTTGAAAACTTCATATAATCTCAGAGGCTGTAACTGACTACTTGCTGAAATCAATTAAGTTTTATTGGAAATAAACACAATAAATTGTTTTCCTTATCTCTGAAATCAGATTATGAAAATTCTAGACAAGCATTACTATTATCACATAATTCCATAAGTTACTTTCTACTACATTATTATTTTACTACAAGTTAAGACCTACAAGAAATAAAACATCAGTTCAGTTTACAAAAATTACAAGACTTTTGGGCAACCCCCTTGGGTTCCCTCCCTCCTTGGGAGCTTTGTACTATCACTTTGCTATCACTCAATAAACCTTGCACTGGGTGTTATACAAAAACAATGCATCTTGGATCACTACATCAAAAACTAATGATGTATTGTATGGTGACTAACATAACATAATAAAATAAAATTAAATTAAATTAAAAAAAAAAAAAAACAACCACCTTGCTTTGCTGCACACCAAAAAAGAAAGAAAGAAAAGAAAAAGACTTCTGGTATCACCTGCATGGGAATCATGAAAAAGTTAAACTCACTGAAACAGACTATAATGGTGGTTGCCTTGCGCTGACGGGGTATGGAAAATGGGGAGATGCTTATCAAAGGGTATAGACTTTTTTTTTTATTATGCTATGTTAATCACTATACATTACATCATTAGTTTCTTATGTAGTGTTCCATGATTCATTGTTTGCGTATAACACCCAGTGCTCCATGCAGTGCGTGCCCTCTTTAATACCCATCACCACCAGGCTAACCCATTCTCCCACCCCTCTCCCCTCTAGAACCCTCAGTTTGTTTTTCAGAGTCCATCGTCTCTCATGGTTCATCTCCCCCTCCAATTTCCCCCCCTTCATTCTTCCAAAGGGTATAGACTTTTAATTATAAGATGAGTTAAGTTCAAGGGATCTAATATACAGCATGGTGATTACAGTTAACAGTATTGTATTATAATATTTGAAATTTGCCAAGAGTAAATCTTAAATGTTCTCACCACAAAAAAAAAAAAGGTAACTATATAAGGTGCTGGAGTGTTAACTAACCTTGTTGTAGTAATCTTTTCACAATATAGATGTACAGTAAATCATCATGTAACACATCTTAAAATTATACATTATTTATCAATTACATATTGATAAAGCTGAAAAATTACAGGACTTCTAAAATTTTACATGATTGAAGAGTAATGAGTTTATGAAGGCAGGAAGCTACATCACTTTTTACACACTTTTATACTAAGTCCCAGTTTACCTATCAGATCATATAAACACAAAATACCACAAAAAACTCAAAACCATAAAGATTTAAGGTAACATAACTATTAAATCCCAGAATTCTATTTGAAACTGTTATGTGAACCAGAATGAGAAACCTATACTGGTGTGCAATGTGTACATATTCATGAAGTTACTGTTAATAAATATGACCAGGAAATCAAGATGTCATTGCCCAACTGTGCTTTAGATATAACGTGTAACTCATGTGAATGCAGAATGGGAAAAATCCTAAGGGAAAAGTATTTACTGCCATGAATGTTTGAAAACTCTTATGTTATTATGTGTTCACAATGGAACTCTGTAGAAGCTTCTATCTAGCAATCTATAACAAAAGATCCACATTCAACTTACACACCACATCCAATTATAGGAGTATCTGTGCCAAGTATTTTTTCAATATATGTTCCCACAATCAAGGTTATCAAACAATTCAAGGAAGTTCTAGGCAGAGAATATTACCACCAAATCAAAACACCCATTAGAAGTAAGCATCTTGCAAAATCTAGAGTTCTTGTCACATGCGAAAGTGGCATTCAACTTTACTTAAGGAAATATGAGAGAACAGGTTTTCTTTGAATATGATGCACAATTGGGGTGCCTGGGTGGCTCAGTTGTTACACCTTCGGCTCAGGTCATGATCCCAGGGTTCTGGGATCAAGCCCAGCATCAGGCCCCCTGCTCAGTGGGAAGCCTACTTCTCCCTCTCCCATTCCCACTGCTTATGTTCCCTCTCTCGATGTCTCTCTCTCTCAAATAAATACATAAAATCTTAAAAAAAAATGATGCACAATCACTCATGCCAAAATCTAAGAACCATCCACATTAGCAGATCTATGCAAGTAGGAAAGTTTTCCTTTCAAAACAGGAAAAAGTACCATAAATTATTCAAAAGTAGGGCCAGAGAGCCAACTGCATATAAAACAAGGCTCTTTGCATACCACCCACACAATTTAGAGCAGAAGTTCTAAGTCATATATATCAGAGTCAATTTTATCTTAACAGAAATGCTTTGCCTTCAAAGATCCTGATAAAGTACTTTGCCTAGGGCTCTAGTAACCAAGAAGTTCCATTGTAACATTCACAATCTCTAAAATAAGTATCACATCTCTCTTATACAAACCAACTAAACCAAGGAGGACCTGGCTACTTTATGTTCCCTTCCTGATAGTGGCCATCAAGACTAGATACTACTTTGGGAGAGACCATATAAATTTGGTGACAACAACTGCAGTAATTTTGAGGGTCCCTTTTCCTTGGGAGACTATTAGTTGAAAGGTCATGCTTTAAAAGATGGAAATTGAAGGGGTACCTAGCTGGCTTACTCAGTAGAGCATATGACTCTTAGTCTCAGGGCTGTGATATGGAGCTCTACTTTGGATATAGAGATTATTTAAAAATAAAATCTTTTTAAAAATTAAAAATAAAAAATACAAGATGGAAATGGTGATATACACACAACCTTTATTTGGTAAAATCAAAGAAGGCGGCACAATCTACCAGTCTGAAGTCACTAAGGAGTTAAAACCAATTTTAACTCCTATTTTATAAACTACTCTTTCAATCAATAAATATTGATTGATTGCCCAGTTGAAAGCTTAGCAGTGAAATCTAAAAAAACTCTTCCCTCTTCCTTTTAAAAGTGAGTTCATCACTATTGCATAACCAATTCAAACTGGACCTAGATATTTGGGCATCTGGAAGAGATTGTCCACTCCTCTAAACACTTTCAGTACATCACTAAGTGATGCAACTGGATAATTTGTACTCAAGAGTATCAACTACATTTTAGGGTATAAGTTATCTGTATTTTAAGTAACACAACTTACCCAAATATAAAATCTCCCTGGCTCCCAGTACCCAGGTTCTTCCATTAATTTAAAAATTTATAAGGAAATACTTACTGGTAGGTAGTGATGATTATTCCAGGATCATATCATCTATTCTGATCACACAAGTCACAAGGGCACTGTAGAAGCTCATCAACTGAGATAATCTTCCATGAAAAGAAGTATCTCCAATCCCAAATGCTTTGATTTAATGAGCAAAGTCTGATTCAGTACCACAGTTTCCTTCCATAGGTGGCCTTACAAGACCTTTCATCCCATCCTTTCTTCCCTTCAGGTATGTATGAAAGAGGAAGATGCCATATGTGAGGCTTAGCTTAGCCACTTAACCTCCTGGTTAAGGGTTTTCTTTTGTGTTAAGGTTATGGACTGATACCACTCAATGCACAAACTGAAAATTAGGAAGCTTAATCAGGTATCACAACCATTTTATCTTAAGAATTAAAGAGAAAATTATTTAAATGCATTGCTTATCAGAATTCACCTAGTCCATAATAACTTCAAGACCAGAAAAATCCCAGTCTTCACTTTGATCTCAATAAAATCAACAGGCAAAAAAATGTACAACATACAACAGTACCTCGCAGTTTAATTGCTCTGTGCATTTATTAGCTAATATTAATGCAGCAAGGAGGAAACAATAGCTCACAAACACTCTACACAATTTCACAAGACACATTGCAGGGAAAAAAGTGACTTAGGAAGGATCAACAGTATCCTAGGGTCTTGGTGGACGCATTCCTGGGGGAGGTGGACCTGGGGGGGAAAAAAAAAAAAGCAAAATTCCATGGGACCATTAGAAAAACATCACGTAAGTATTAAGGGGCCCAGCTGGCACCACTGCACAAAAGTGTAGCCACTCACCTCTAATTCCTGGTGGAGGGGGTCTCATTCCTGGAGGGGGCATGCCTATTGGCGTCCCTCGAGCAGGGGGAAGCCCAATTGGTGGGCCCATGGGTGGTCTCATACCAGGTGGAGGAGCCATAATGCCTAGAGAAGAAAAACGGCAGAGAGAAAGTCCTCATAAATAAGCTCAGCTAAGATGACAGAATAAAATACAAGGTAATATTTAAAGAAATGGGCCCAGACACTAAGTAGAGAGTCGAACATTTTTTCCTGGACCATTACCATGTAAGCCATCCCCAACAATAGAGTCCACAGCTTTTCATTAAAAACTACTGTTTAAAAGTGGGAAACATAATCTAAGCAACTAGTTAGGTACTTAGGCTGTTCCTTAGTTCAGTGTCTTCTTAAAGAGTATTTTTAGTCCTCACTTCCTCCAGATAAAAGTATTTTTTCACATAACTATATATATATACATGCACCAAATTCTCTGACTTCTCTGTAATTTCCTTACCGGGAGGTGGTGTTGCTCGGCCCACGGGAGTGGGTGGGGTCCCCCGTCCTGGTGGGTACTGAGTCGGGGCTCCAGCAATGCTGGCAGTTGCAGCAACTGCAGCAGCCGCTACAGTGCCTCTTCCCTGTGGAGTCATTACCTGAGAAGGACGGTCAGATACGGTCAAGGTAAGGCACATCCTCTCCTTGTTCAAACACAAAACAATTGGTGGATACCACAGCCTATTAAATATGAAATAATTACAGCAATTTTGTATTTCTCCCATTATTTTCATTTTAAAATCTTGGCACACTAATACATCCTCCTAAAACCCTACATTCCCTTTTTTAACCTATTAAGTCCTTTCACATTTTCTCAACTCTGGTTTACCCATCTGTATTTCTCCTTACTCACCAATAGTGGTGAGTTCCTCTTATCACGATGGCTCTAATCCTTTCCCCTCCTAATGTGTATTTGTCTTTCAGCACCCTCTGTAACATGCTGCTTACAGAGCACAGGATGTGCACTCAGGCTTTTAAACCTATTCAGCCTCTAGGCACTTTCTCTCGGTAATATAAAACCTTCTAGTTCCTCACCTGTTGGGATGGCCCCCCAACCCCTCGGACAGGGCCTGCTAATCCAGCAGGAGCTTGGGGAATTGGAACACCAGCTGGCACTCCTCTGCCAGCTGCCCTGCCAACCCCAGGACCTCCTGCAGCTCCAGCAAGTGGTACCCGAGCAATGCCAGTCTGAAACAAGAAAAATTATTTGAAATCAAATGACTTACCAACGTTATGAATAGTCTTATTCCTAAAAGATCACTCTTCCCACTATCTTCCCACACCACCTAGCTTGTATTAATTCTATATTCAAAGGAATAGACAAGTACGCCAAGGAGGCATTCAATAGATTAAATGTACATATGTCAAATTTTGAGGAAATATAAATAACCACTCCCACCCTTCTCTAGGTAGTCCCCAGCACATAGAATAATACATCATAAAGTCCTTAATCACCAAATATGGACAAGTCAGCACTGACATTAAGTGCTGGGCACATTTTACTTGACAAATGTGTACTATTATTGTGCCTCTTTGTACCCTCATTTAGCAAACATCTCAAATAATGTGATGTCTTCCACATTACTATTCTGTCCTACCCTACAGCTTCCTTACATCTTTGGGGGGTGGTCCTTCCACAGTCATGGAAACCAAGTTCTCCCCACGTAGTAACACCAGACCCAAAACCCGCTTTTCTTCACGCTCTGGCTGCTTCGCATTCTTTGGCCTATAAATCAAAAGTAAACTTTGTTAAGATAAGTTAGCGATCACTCACTAAAATTTACAGTTAGATATCAACTAAGACAATAACTGATGGAAGACAATAATTGATGGAAGATATTCATGCTAAGTTATGACAAAACAAAGACAAAATACAAAAACACTAGACTCACTGACATATAAGGGTAAATGGTAAAGCCCTTTTCCTATCAAAATTTTCCAGAATGTTCCTCAGTGTTATATTTCAGCAAGATTAATTTCTTCTTTGTTAAACAGAGATGCAAATTATGTGGCTAAAACTTTTAAGACAAGTAAACTGAAATGTGTTTTCATGTTTACATGGGAAGTTAAGTTTTTTAAAATTATTTTTTTAAGTAAATCTGGATGACAGACAGCTAAAATAGTAACAGTAACAGGCAATGATGTCATACCAAATGATAAAGAAAAAAATAAGGCTTTGAGTAAGAGATGCCTATGCATTTCTGGCCTTACCACTTATTATATAACCATGGGGAATTAAAAACAAATTAAAAAAAAGAGAAGAGAAACCTTGTGTAGAGTCACAACTGTCAGCAGCAAAAATCATACATTCATGAGGCATATACTACATAATACAGGTAAAAGCAACTGACAGTGCCATTCAACAATCCTCACTAAGTATTATCAGAGAATAATGTGCAGCTTAAAGCATTATGCATGTGAAATTATCCCTATAACTTAGTGAGAAAAGTGAAACAAATTAGTATGCCTAAAACTCTCAAATACCTTTAGAATTTTCACTATCATAGGGATTCTTGTATTTTAGGGAAAAATTCTGGATTATTTACACTCACAAAAAAAATAATCTGAATATCTGAATATCTGAAATAATCCTACTTGGTGTGAGGGGAGGAGACTGTGAATACATGAAAAGGGAAAGATGAGGAATGTTTTTTGCCTGAGAGGAATAGACTTAAGAGTAGAGCAGACAACTGGTGCTGAGCATCGCCTTTTTCTTCGTATTTAATAAAACCTATGTGAAGTAGGCAAATTAAACATCTGTACAGTTTATCACTGACTGTGGAAATAAAGTAAATCAAGCCAAGAATCCAGGGTGATGCCTCTCAAGTTCTGCCCCATGATAAAAGCCTGAAACAAAGCCATCTTGAATGTCCAGAGATGATATTACAAGCACCAACTCAACTGCTCTGAATGATAAGTCAACTGGGTGGAAGTAGGATGCCACTAAAATCCACCAATTTCTGTGATCTTATTGCAGATGGTCAACAGTTCCCTGAGAAAGGAAGCTCCCTGGTCACAGGTATAAACCGGGTAGCCTCATGTGGTAAGGCACAAACATAAAGGTTATTCCTGAAGAAATGAAATGGGCAAATCACAAATACAATAAGCAAAGAGGGTTAAGAATGGACACCAAATCAACACTGCACATGATGATTTAGACAAAACAAGGACCATGCAAAGAGGCTAGCAGAACAAATGTTAAAACTAGCCTGGCGTATTCTAATATCCTAACTCCTCAACCATTAAGAACAAATTGTTATTCTTACAATTCCTTCAGTCTGAAGAAATGCTACAAAACCTAACCTATCAATAACATTTCATAACTTTTTAAATAAATATAACTTGATACTCTGCTCATACTGTAAGTTCTTTCCAAATTAAGTTCATGAGTATGTTTGCAAACTTAAAACAGTAGTGTAAATACACTGACTTTAAGACGGGGAGACTCTGATCCAATTCAGTGATGGTTTAGGTTAGACAACAGATTAGCCCTGCCACATTTTCCCTCCCTCCTTATCAGTTATCCTCTATCATCCCTTACTCCTATTACCCTCTCCCTCTGTCTCTCACTGTCCAAACCCAAAGTGGTCTTACTTGATCTTTCTGAATTCATCACAATCACAGAGGATCAAGTTCATATGCTTGTCAAAAGCCTTAAAGGTGCCAATGAAGATTCGGCCATCTTGCAAGATACATCTCATTCTATAGTCGATGTGCTGCAGCATCTTGCTGCTCTTTCCCACAGTCTGAAAGGAGTAAGAAAAGTTGTCACCCATCAGCTTGTCTCTCCACCATGTCTTCCCTATTTCTGCATCAATCCAAGCTTGGTTTCCTTAACACATCTTCCTTCACATGTTTTCTCCAAAAATCCCTTCAGTCTCAAGATGCTGGACCAAATTTAGGCCCAGGACTACTATACTCCTCTGTGAAACCCTCTACTTCTCAGAATGTCTCCCTATGCAGTTTCCCATCATCCTAACTGTATTTCCCTAACTGTATTTCTTCCCCAACAGATTCACAAACCTAGTTTCATGTTAGTATTCTATCATTCTAATTCCTCTCCTTTCCCAATTTTAATCCCAAATCCCACCATCTTTTAGAACACTCGACCCCATGGCCTATTTCTTTTCCCCTAGACACATACCCAAACAGTGGGAAATTCCTACCTCCATCAGAAACTCTCCAATTCCCATCAACCCAATGCAAATACAAACTACTATTTAGTTCCCCAAAGACCTTTATCCTAGTTATATCACACCCCACATCCCCTCCCATTCAGAACTTGGATCGGTGTTTCTCAAACTTTCTTCAGTTTCATTTATCCTACTAAGTCACCTTTTAAAAATATTTTTATCCTAAATCACCCACTCCACTGAAAGTTTAATATGTTGATAAATCTGTATCTCTATTTATATACTGTAGTCCTCAGGAAGACCACAAGCTATTGTAAAATCTAATATTCCTTCCACTTCTCCAAATCAATTTTTGCTGCTTTGAGGTATCTTTCCTGTTGGGAATACATGCTGTAAGTCATTTAAACTTTAACAGAACCACAAAACCGAGTAGTATATTTTATCTCTACAGACTGTTTATTATTGTATACTTCTCATGCCGTGAATTGCTAAACCCCTCCATTTTTAATGTAGACTTTATGTCTATTATAACCTGAGTCTTCCATCTACTAGATTGTCCCTTACTATTGTAAATCAAAATGAAAATTCTCTTCTGTATTTTCTCACATATAAGATCCCTCTTAAGATATTTTTAACCATTTAATCACTACAGTAGAACAACAGACATAGCTCTCCTTCAGCTGATACATCATACAATGAGATACCATCTCTAAAGATTGATTCCTTATTTCTAACATTAAGAACCCAAAGACACCCCACACTCTGGTAAACCATTATATTAGGCCCTTCCAGTAGCTTTTCACCCTTCTGTCTTAATATACATCTTACCATGGTTGCTGTTCCACCAAATCCAATGTCCACAGTAAGGTTTCAGGATCCTTAAGACCTAAGGGAAGGCTACAGATAAAGGTATGACGCAGGTTCTCCTATAAACAATGCAAGCTTGGGGCAGAAGCTTCAAACAGTAGATGGAGCCTGCAGAGGAAAGCATGATCTAGCTGCACTGCAATCTACCATGTTTAAAAACAGGCAGACAATTTTTTATGAAAATCATTTTAACAGACATGTTCAAAAGACTTCCCATGTTCTTATACCCACCAAGTGAACACCAAATTTCACTATTCCCTCACCTTAATTCCCCCATTTTATGCACTTAAAATTGACAAAGTTTATTAAATTTTTGCTTTATGCAGAAATTTTTAAATGTTTCAAAAATTGCTTTTATTTTCCATTCCAAAAACTGATCTTTTTTCTTTCCATTCTTATTTTAGGTAGTGCTTCATTCTCTGGTCCCAAGTCAACACCGTTTCATTGCAATTTCAACATTTTGATATCCTTATGTTTAGCCATCTGAATTACTGTCCTGAGGTAGGTTAAAACTTTTGCTTCCTAGTTAAACCACCTAAATGTTTTCAACCTCAATCTCCCCTGACTCCTCAACCCTGCCAAAAGCATTTCAAAATAATGCTAGATTATCTTTCTTTACCAAGAACCAAATGCATTATCATGTACCTGCTTATGACTTCCTACATTAAAATAGGATACAACTGATACTTGTTTATATGGATATATGGGCAACTTTCTTAGCAATCAAAAAAAACATGCATTATTACAACAGTGTTATTTTTCCCAATATACTAATGAAAATGTTCTTGAGTCTGGAAACCAAATATAGTCAAAACTGGAAAAGGGTCTCAAGCTACTAATTATACTTATTTGAAAAGTAAACACACAAATTAGACTTGAATGGGAATTTGGCTTTATGCATAAATGTAGCCCCATATCATAAACAAAATCTGATATAATTTTACTTTTAACAATACAGACATTAAAATTGCTCTCTGTTTTCAACAGAAACGCTTTTCAAACAGCAATGTACACTGGTTAAGTAAATTATGAATTATTTATTTCAGGATGTGAAAATAAAATCATTTAAATTGTGGGTGTGAACTGTAACATCAAAACAATATTGTAAAAGAATGTTTTGAGGATACAGTTTTCCGTGTGGAACTACAGGATACTAAATAAGAAGGAAACAGAATAGTATGAAAGAAATAATTCAGTTAAGGGTGGCAAGATGTAGATGTTGCCCCATAATTATAAAAATCTGATGGCTGTTAAATGCATTTTATGAGAATTTGGAGTATCAGATCGTCTAAAAAAATAAATTCATCATTACTCAGAATATCTCTTAACCTTTTTTCTCCAAATGCAAATTGCCATGCACCATTTGTGTCTTTTTTCTGAAAGACAATCTACCTATATCCTCAACACTGTCCATATTTCTCTAACATTCATCTTTTTTTAAAAAAAATTACTTATTTGAGAGAGAGAGATCGCACAAGCAGGCGGATGGGAGTAGGGCAAAGGGAAAATCAGACTCCCCACTGAGCAGGGAGCCTGATGTGGGGCTGAACCAAAGTCAGATGCTCAACAGACTGAGCCACCCAGGAGCCCATCCAGCATTTATCTTAACTGACTATAATATCTATACACTTGTTTCTTCTCCCATCTACCTAATTTACGTCTTTAAAGATACAATGACATCAGGGATAACCCCCCTTTTGTAGCATCCAATATGTGTACATGAATTAATGTTTTGCATAAAACTGACATGTAAAGATCTCAAAAGATCTATTCAAATCAGCAGACTAATGTACCCAACCCTCCCCAAATAAATGTAGTTTTTTTTTTATTTGAATTCAATTAGCCGACATATGAGTAGTTTAAGGCCTATAATATAGATGTTCTTAATCCTGACAGGATTACTTATGAAGCTGTCTAAATCCTACACTTGTTTATTTTTAAAGTAGCAATTTTCATTTTTTAGCAATTTTTATAATATTGTATCTATGAAGATATAAAGTCTTCGGCAATCCATTGTTAACAGAAAGTAAATTATCTACAGAAATAGAAAAAATACACATAGAAACAGAAAGTAAATTAAATGGTAACCTGAAGTTGGGAGTGGAAACAGGGAATGTATGTAAATGAGCATGAAGGATCTTACTTTGGTAATGCAGCATCCTTAAAGTACCTGACAATGGTTGCAAAAGTCAGTATATTTATGAAAAAATTAGGTGCATTTTATGGTATATAAACTATAAATCAAAAAAGCTGTTTTTAAAATGTAAAATGTCAAGACCTTCACATAATGTACAAAGTTTGTAACATTACTTTTTATATCGCCATTAGTGAAAAAAAATAAAAACAAAAAGAATGCTAACCATTCAACAAGACACTATTACTGGAGTACACACCCTCTACCATCAACAATGGAGACGTACTACCAGACACTGCAATGCAAGACCATGATTATTAGAACAAAAGAAAAAAACAGTAGGGCTAGATTTCAAGAGTTCATTTAAGGGAAAAAAAAATGTAATCACTGAGAAGTTTCTTATGTAAGGATGTAATGGAACCCAGCATCAAATGTGCATTTACAGTGAATTTGTAGTCAGTCACCTTTCCAATAAAAATTTAAAATTCAGAAACAAAATTTTACCTTCAGATGCCAAAAAGATTCGAGTACAGATTTCCCTATCAGCTTCAGTTTAAATGTTCTGTCTCAACTGGCATTTCAGTGAACACATAACTATCAGGCTTAATTCCTAGTTTAACTTAAAGAAACCAACAAATCCAAACATTTCCTTTGTATAGTGGAAGAGTAAAAAGGAAAGGCCAGTCGCAGTCCTGTTTCTGTCCATCACCTAACCTGCTGAGTTTATAAACCCCTTCCACATCTACTAGATGTTGTTAACCAGTTATCAAGTATAAAAATGTACCTGCAGATGTGAGTCATAACCTAAAGAACAGGAGACCTAAAGAACTGGGAACACAGACGTGTAATATAATATAAAATATTCTATATAAATAAGAGATATACATTTTACTCACAACTCAGAATAGGGGTTGACTGAAGTGGTTAAGGAAAGACTCTCCTTAACAAATAGGACCTAAGATTTAGAAAGTTATCTCTTATTCCTAAATTTAGTACACCATAATCATGAATCCTTATAAGGGAAAGGATGTTTCACTTTGGAGATTGATCAAATTTATCTCCATAGCAAATGACATCAACATGCTTCATGAAGAAGAGCGTAAGAGCACAACTGATGAATTAGCAGTTATGATAAATCTCCTTACATCAAGAAGCATAAGCAAATAAATGGCCCCCTGACTCAAACATCCTGAGATTCCTCACAAAAGAAGTTCTTAAACTTTTGGAAAGTCTGGACTTTCAAATGATTAAACTTTATAAAAATTTAAGTGAAAAGATAAGATGGTCAAACTTGTCCAAGATACATACAACAAATGAGAAATCATATAATAATGGTAATGCATTAGTGCTCACTCAAATCTGGTAAAATATCACACCCTTCACAGAAAATGTGCAAAAAAGTTTAACAAGTAAAAGGAGAAAACACAATAAATGGAAAAAAGTATTCATCCACAAAGCAATGCCAATTAAAACCACACACACACACACACAAAAAAAAACAATTTTCCATTTTTGGAACTGTTTATTTATCAAAGAAAAAGACACACAAAGATGGTACTGAGAAACTAACACTAGTAGTAATTATTCTTGATGGCAAACAATGCTTATGATGCTGTCAGAAAGCAATATAACAAAACATTTAAGAGTCATACTAATGTGTATACCCTACAGTCCACAATTGGATCCTTATCCTAATAAATTTAAGATACCAAATATATCTTTTAAATATAGAATTTATAAAAGCATAGCAAACTAGAAAAAAACAAGTACAAGGAAAAGTAAATCATGAATAAACTATCATTTATTCATTAGAATAATTATCATTATGATGACTAATAAAATGAGGAAACAGTGATATACATTTAAGTGAAATAAATACAAAATAAATTCATTTAAAAGCATGATTCCAACTTAAAAAAAGCAAATGGGGAAAATGAAAGAAAATTCAACCTTATGCTGTGGCTGAAACATGGGTTTTAAAATCTTTGGTTTAACTTCCCATTTTTCTTGTCTATCACTTGGAAGCTTTAGATTTTTATTGTAAAAAAGGAAACATACCAATTGTTAAAATGTCTTTAAAAACTACCCATCTACATTTATTCTTTAGACATGATTCTTAGACTTGACCCTTATCCCAGAAATTTATCTGGTCCCCTACCCTGTAATGTTCACTTTCATATAACTTCCTTTATAACCCCTTTCTCTTCACCAACTTCTATAGTATCACCAGTCCCCCACTGTCCCAACTTGGTGTTTTCATCTTCAAATGTGATTCTCTAAGAAAGATGCCAGAGAACTTTCTTTTAAGGAAGAAGATATATTTCAAGCTTTACCTGCCATTCAATCTGTCACAACTACTCCAATCTGCTGCTGTAGTGACAAATACAGCCACAGACCATACACAAACGAAAGGACATGGCTGTGTGCCAATAAAATTTTCTTTAGGAAAAGTGAGTGGGTCAGATACTTTACTAACCCCTGCTCTAAAATAATCCTAGTACCAAGTGCTGTTTAACTAGCCCTTGAAACTAAAATAAAAAATAGTATCAGAAAACCAGATGATCCTATATGAAGATCATAATGTATGACTTAAATATTATATGGGTGCTTGGCTGGCTCAGTTGGTAGAGCATGTGACTCTTGATCATAAGCCCCAGGTAAATAAGTAAATAATTATACTTAGGAACTTACAAGAGTATATGAACTACACTAAAGAGCCAAAAAACTCCTGGTTAAAAAAAAAAAATCTGCTTTTCTCACTTAATCATTTAAAAATGGCCTTACTCTGGGGAACAGCTGGGGGCAAGGATCAGATTCCACTGTCTGAAATCAATGCCACTGCCCTGCAATCAGCTCCAGGTAATTACTGGAGAATGCTGAATAAAGGATGCAGCAGGGGAGAATTCTCAGAAAATCTGTTTTGTATCTTTTAATTTAAAACTCAAAATAGTGGCTATAAACAGGCCTAATTAATGTGAGTTGAGAGGTAATACACCAAAACAGAAATAAAGAAAATCTAGAACAAAACTCATCAATAGGCTCCTGTCTCCTAGTTTCTAAAAAGTATATTAAACCCTTTGCATTACAGGCATTCAAATATTAAAATTTAAAAAAGGTCACATAAAACATTAAAAGACAGACTGTAAATAAATCTACATCACATTGAAAAAATCATGGGTAATATTTTTATTACATTGTCAGCTGAATCAAATACATTGATACATTGTCAGCTGATTCAAATACGTTGTTGAAAACAAAAAAGTGAAAAAAGACAAAACAAAAAAAGCAATAATTAGTAAATATGCATGGAAAATTATTTAGCTTATTTGGTTATGAATGTGATGTGTATTTATAATTCAGTAGGCACAAATGATACGTAATTAAAACAACCAATGCAGGTAAAAGTGTATCGTAACTGGCATTCCATTTTTTTCCCATTATTTATTCAGGGTAATGGAGACTAATACTTTGAAATATAATTTAGAAAATGTACCTAAGCTAATATTTCTGATTCAGTTTATTTTCACATCTTCATATCTGAGTAAATGATCCTATCTAATATGTTATGCTTGGCAGTTCACTGAAGCTTTATTGAAACTACCAGGAAAAAGATGAAGTTTCTCACAAAAGGTAATTACAAAACATTCATTAGCAGGATATTCAGCATCCATTTATAATGTAGTATGTTTATATAATATTAATTGGAAAACCAATAGAAATTAGATACAAATAAACTACCTAAAAAGCATGCACTAAAATGACTGGGAAACTAAGTGTCGGGTTAAGACCAAGGTCCTATTACTTGCTTTTACTTCTTTAATCTTTCTGCAATGTGATTATATGAATTTTTTTATTTAAATTCAATTATGAAATTTTTAAGAAAAAAAATGTATTTTAACATATCTCAAGTAATTAAGTGACCTCCAAACACACTATTTATTTATTCCTAACCATGACTCAATCAGTTCTAACCTGTTTTTTCACTTGGAAATCAGCTACCTGGATGTTCCAATACTGCTTTAACCACCTCTTGGTGTCTCAGCTAAGAATGCCTGTCTCAGTTCCGCCTGGAAATCCACCACAGGTATTTGCTGCTGCTGAGATCGCCTTGGGTACAGCTGACACCTATGACAAGAGCACAATATGTAAAAATGAATATAAATGAGAAGAGATTTTCCTATATGGGTAACAATATGAAAGAAAATGTGTAAACCCTTACATTTAAGGAGAGACTCAATTAGGATGAGAGCTTCCCATTACCTTGTGAAGAGACTGGAAGAAGAAATAGGAGTCTCTGACAACAGAATGTGCAAGGAACAGAAGGATACTTACTACTTTAGGGATACTACCCAAGAAACTTTAAAATAAAAAAAAATTCTTTTGTTTTAAAAAGCCCTGTGGAAAAACCATCAGAACCATATGCATTACTCACTTTCCAATCCTACCTGGAAACAATTCTTTAACCCTTAGCAAGAAGAGGGAGGCATTTGCTAAGGCCATTTCCAGCAAGATATTAAGGCTGTTATCCATACTAAATACTCCAGGGAGTAACCACCTGAAACAAGGAACTACCAGAGCCCAGAATTTTAGGCTCTCAAACTATATAAACTGACTACCTATTAGTTGGAAGGGAATTCCAGACAAAAGTCCTCAGTATATCCGTATGGATCAGTAATCTGGCTGTGAATCTGATTCTGTAAATTACGATATAGGAAATGTTACTGGCTAACAAGACAAGCATTAAAAAAAAAAAAATCACCAGCAATTCAGCCCTTGTTAAGTGTGTGTATGTGTGCATATATATACACACATACATGTCTATTTATGAAACTACTCAATAGCAGATTTGGAAATGGGCCTGAAAAAAGATATTCCACTATTTTTCTACAGTTTTTAAATGGCATTTTTAACATTCTGTTAAATAAGAAGAATTAGGTTGGAATTTCTCCATGGCTCATGGAAGGTAACCTCTAAATTCTCAAATTTACCAAGTGATAGCAGTATCTTCGTTATTCTTGGTGGCCTCTTGGATCATACCTGAGTTAACACTAATACGATTATTCAGGACAGGGGCTGGCCAAGCCACAAAGACCAACTATGTGATTAGAGTGTGGGGCCCGTGGTCAACCACATGGTCAATGATTCAATCATGTTTAAATAATGAAACCCTAATAAAAACTCTAGAAGGCAGGGTCCCTGGGTGGCCCAGTTGGTTGAGCGTCTGCCTTCAGCTCAAGTCATGATCCTGGGGTCCTGGGATCTAACCCCATGCTGGGCTCCCGGCTCAGCAGGGAGTCTGCTTCTCCCTCCCCCCTGCTCATGCTCTCTCTCTCTCTCTCAAATAAATAAATGAAATATTAAAAAAAAAAACTCTAGAAAGCACCCAAAGTTCTGGTGAGCTTCCTGTTTGGTGATATACATACATTGATGAGCTGAGAGTATTACAACCTAAGGACATGAAGTTATGGATCTTGTCCTATAAGTCTCTACATTTGGCTTATCCTGACCTGTATCCCCTATAGTAAACTTAATAGTAAGTGTAGTGCTTTTCTTGAGTGCTGTGAAAATTATGGAACCTGAGGAAATAGTGGAAACCTTGAATCTCTATCCAGATGCTGAGAAGTGCAGGTGGCCTAGAAACTCTGGGGCTTGCAGTTGGTATCTGTTTTGAGGGTAATCTTAGGAGGGACTGTACCCTTAACATGTCAAAACTGCACTAACTCCATTAAGAGTCTTCATTACATTGCTCATGCTTTTTAAATTGTCCCATTTTTATTTAGGTATTCTTAGTTCCAATCCTTTATTACCAAATGGCAACTAAGAGTCTGACCTAATATGGTTCTAAAAGTGTTTCAGAGAAAACAAAAATATATTCCTTGGCCCTCTTAAACTCCTACTGGAGTGTTCCTCTTGGGTTTAACCTGAAACCCAGCTGCATACTAAACTAAAACTGGAGAAAATAAAATGCAGTACATGTAATATTCAGTTCATAAAATGCAGAATATAATTTAGAAAGACATATAAAAGGGTGCATAAAATAGATTCTCCAGAAGACTCTCCAGCCCCAATCTCCAAATTCTCTCAAATTTACAATGCATCAAGAAACAAGAAAGACATTCACCAGCCCCAAAGATCAAAAACTGATTTACTTGATAGATCTATCGGAAGATGGTATAACCATCAATTCCAAGAATAAAAACCAATGAGCTTCTATTAACAATCACTGTTGGTCTGTGAGAGGTTTCATCTGCTTCGTTTTGGTTTTTATTCAATTTTGTTTTGTATCTTGGATGGAACATGAATAGCAAATCTTTATTAGCATTAGAACCAGTACCACACAATTTCTCAGGAATACTGACTTTTAGCACTTATGGTTTGGGAAAATGTGGGATATTGATGGATTATCATCAAAATAAACAGACTAACTGTTAACTATCCCAATCCTGAGAGAATTCTGAGCATATGTATCAGTATGCAAGGCTTAGCGAGTATCAAATACTGCTTACCCATTTTATAATCCACTTACTCTCAAAATGGAGATAAATGACTGGGGAAATTACACTATTTCCCTAACTCAAAACTCCCCTGCCCATTTAGCACCCTGTAGTATTTATACGTAATATAAACAGCAGAGGTCAGGAAATGAACTTATTTCTTCTTTGAACGCAACAAAATGTTTCCATAGCTTTGGACAAGAAAATGACACCTAAAGAGGTCTTAAAGAAAATGAGATTACCTGTTATGCTGGTTCACACTGGTCCTGCATAAGATAAAAGCTCTAACAAAATTTAACTATGACAGAACCATTACCCACTAACAAAAGATCCTCCCCTCAAGAGAATCCCCCATACCTCAATCACAATCTCTAAACAAACTCAAGATACTTCCAGAGATTCTGGGTAAAAATGCCACTTTTAAACGCTTTTAAGTTACAAAAGACATTACCATACAAAAGAAAATTAATATGGCAAAAAGTTTATCATGCAATGAGGGATACTGAAATGAATTTAATTAATGAAAGAAACCTATGCTTATAATATAGAAGATAATGCAAAACAGTTGAATCAACCTTAATCAGGTAGTACTAACTTATGTTAAATTTTAGTAAAATGCATTTTTTCCCAAATGTGTAGGTGAGTTTTATCAATAAAATTCTACATCCCTCAAATTTGATATTTATATAATTTCTGTTTTATGTTACTAAATCACTTCTATGTTTGCAAAATTTTTTATTCATTGACCGAATGCTAATTTATGTATTCACACATATGCTGCATTATTATGTATCTCCTTTATAAGGACAAATTATAGGGGCAACTGGGTGGCTCAGTTAGTTAAGTGGCCAAACTCTTGATTTTGGCTCAGGTCATGATCTCAGGGTTGTGGGGTTGAGCTCTGCTAGGGTGCCATGCTCAGTGGGGAATCTGCTTGAGATTCTCTCTTGCTCTTCCCCTCTCCCCCCCTCACTTGTACATGGCTGGTGCTCTCTCCCTCTCTCAAATACATAAATCTTTTTTAAAAAAGAACAAATTACACAGAATATCCATTCACAAAATACTTCTTTTAAATTCCCAAAATAAAAATGTAATAAAAGAGTGAGCTCAGAAGAATAAATAAACAGGGAAAATGGGGAAATTGTTGGCTTCACCAGTAATTTAAAATGTGCAACTGAATATACTGCAACTTTACCACGTAAAATGAGCAAATAACAAAAAACAGAAGACAAAATTCTACCCCCACTTTATAACGTCTTTATTTTTTTTTTAAGACTTTATTTATTTGACAAAGAAAGATCACAAGTAGGCAAAGAGGCAGGCAGAGAGAGAGGGGAAGCAGGCTCCCTTCTGAGTAGAGAGCCAGATGCAGGGCTGGATCCCAGGACCCTGAGATCATGACCTGAGCCAAAGGCAGATGCTTAACCGACAGAGCCACCCAGGCTCCACTATAACAGTTTTTTAAAAAAGCTTTATATTTGAGGAACTGAAATAAAATGTAAATAATTAATATTAATAAAGAATATTAACTTTCAAATTGACTGCCCTTATCTTTGTTGATAAGAGCAAAGAAATGCAAATCAGTAAGCTACTGATAAATGAAACTGTTATTAAACCACCCATATTCTACAATCTGTAAAATAAATGAGGTGGGGTGCCTGGGTGGCTCAGTCGTTAAGCGTCTGCCTTCGGCTCATCAGGTCATGATCCCAGGGTCCTGGGTTCGAGCCCCGCATCGGGCTCCCTGCTCAATGGGAAGCCTGCTTCTCCCTCTCCCACTCCCCCTGCTTGTGTTCCCTCTCTCGCTGTCTTTCTCTCTGTCAAATAAATAAATAAAAATATTTAAAAAATAAATAAATAAAATAAATGAGGTATTTATATGCATTGAAATAGAAAGATCCCCAAGACATATTGTTGCACAACAATAAATCTCGCATATGTAAAGTGATCACAAGTAGGGGCGCCTGGGTGGCTCAGTTTTAAGCCTTGATCCCCAGGTCCTGGGAGGGTCCTGGGATCAAGCCCTGCATTGGGCTCCTTGCTCTGCGAGCCCCGCGGGAAGCCTGCTTCTCCCTCTCCCACTCCCCCTGCTTGTGTTCCCTCTCTCGCTGTGTCTCTCTCTGTCAAATAAATAAAAATCTTTTAAAAAAATTAAAATTAAAAAAAGGAGATTGCAAGTATGCCTCTCCCTCTCCCCACTTCCACATGTGCATACACATGAATGAACAGGAAAAGGTCTGAAAATATAGACATCTACATACCTGTGGATTATCTCTAGGGAGGGAAGGGCAATGGTAAGTTGAAGTAGATACTTTCTATCTCAAAATTAAGTGTTTTATAAAGAGACGATATTCATGTATTTTTAATATTTGTAATTTTGGAAAATAACCAAATAGAACAGCTTTGGGAAAGGGAAAAAAATGCTACCCACTGATTCTGTCATGATTTGTGATAATAACAAAATGCAAGATCTAATAAATACTACGTATGTATCATGTAATTAAAAATGTTGGTATATTTTGTATTAAAATCACCCTTCTGGAAACCTAAATTTAAAAGTGCGTGGGGGTGCCTGGGTGGCTCAGTTGGTTAGGTGTCTGACTCTTGATTTTGGCTTCGATCAGGATCTGGGGTCCTGGGATGGAGCCCTGCATCAGGCTCCATGCTTGGTGGGGAATCTGCTGCAGATTCTCTCTCTCTCTCTCCCCCTCTGCCCTTCCCCCAGCTTGATTTCACACTCTCTCTCTCCCTAAAAGGAATAATTAAATCTTTAAAAAATTTAAAAAAAATAAAAGTGTACCTCTGTGTAGATATCCTATGTAAAGAGAGGAACAAATGTATACATTTCAAGGTTTTTTTTTAAGATTTTATTTATTTATTTATTTGAGAGAGAGAGCATGAGTGAGAGAGCAGAAGCAGCAGAGGAAGAGGGAGAAGCAGGCTCCCCACTGAGCAGGGAGCCCGTTGCGGAGCTAGATCCCAGGACTCTGGGATCATGACCAGAGCAGAAGGCAGTCGCTTAACCAACTGAGCCACCCAGTGCCCCACATTTCAAGTTTTTAATTGGATAAATGTATTAACCAAAAATAAAAATCTGAATAATGCAGCATATGTGTGAATACATAAATTAGCATTCAGTCAATGAATAAAAAATTTTGCAAACATAGAAGTGATTTAGTAACATAAAACAGAAATTATATAAATATCAAATTTGAGGGATGTAGAATTTTATTGATAAAACTCACCTACACATTTGGGAAAAAATGCATTTTACTAAAATTTAACATGTTAGTACTACCTGATTAAGGTTGATTCAACTGTTTTGCATTATCTTCTATATTATAAGCATAGGTTTCTTTCATTAATTAAATTCATTTCAGTACCCCTCATTGCATGATACTCTATTCAACTTTGAACAAGAATTCTAAACTAAATTGATTCTCAACCCAGACTATACTCACTCTTGGTTGCTCAGTGAGGCTGTCCTTCTACGTTTGACTTGGACTTCCACCTCTGGTACGTGCTGTTCCGTAGTCCGTCTCAGGTGTAAGCGGTCCCTGAAGCAGAAAGAGAAATTTATTTTGTAAGACTTCATCAACTTTAAAATAACCACTTATTTAAAGGCTGTATTTATTTTTAAATATTTTATTTATTTATTTGCGAGTGAGAGAGCATAAGCAGGGTGAAGGGCAGAGGGAGAAGCAGACTCCTCACTGGGCACGGAGCCTGATGTGGGATTTGATCCCTGGACTCCAGGACCATGACCCGAGCTGAAGCCTTGGCTTAACTGACTGAGCCACCAAGGCGCCCCTGAAGGCTGTATGTAGAACTATATTAATATAATGGAATTTTTAAAGTGCTTATAATATAATTAAAACAAGGTACAATAGTAATGTAAGTCAATTGTATCTCAGTAAAAGTGGTAGAAAAGAAACATGGCAAAATTTTAATGAAAATATCCTCCAATAGTCAGGATCTATCCTAAAACCACTTTCTCCCTTTTGAAACCCCTAACATCAGGTCACTTGGGTGTCTCAGTCAGCTGAGCATCTGACTCTCCGTTTGGGCTCAGGTCATGATCTCAGGTTGGTGAGATGGAGCCCCATGTTGGGCTCTGTGCTCAGCAGGCAGTCGGCTTGAGTTTCTCTCCCCCCACCCGACTCATAAACACCCTCTCTTTTTCTCTCCCTCCCTCTCTAACAAATAAATTTGTTAAAAAAAAAAGAAAAGAAAAGAAAAAAGAAGCCCCCTGGGGGTGCCTGGATGGCTCAGTTGGTTGGGTGTCTGCCTTCGGCTCAGGTCATGGGATTGGGCCGCACATCAGGCTCCATGTTCAGTGGGGAACCTGCTTCTCCCTCTGCTGCTCCCTGTGCTTGTTCTCTCTCTCTCTGTGCCAAATTAATAAATAAAATCTTACAAAAAAAGAAAAAGCCCCCTAACATCAGAAAACTGGGGGGGTGGGATATATCAGAGAATTAAGCAAAAAGAAAATATTTCCACTTATTTTTATATTATGCAGACATAAAGCTATACATTTACAGAGATATACTTATATGCACTAACCTACTACCCATACCTACATACCCTCAAAAAATTGATGGTTTGGTTAGATTCCAAAACTGGTTTGAAATATTTTTAATGATATTTTTAATTTATTTGAGAGAGCAAGCGGGAGCGG